GGGTCGGCGGCCGCCCCCACGTCCCGGCGGAAGGGACGGGGCAGCCGGGCTGGGAACGGGCGCGTCCTGGCCCCGGGAAAAAGTTTCCTAAAAAAAAAAAAAAAAGTTTCCAACTTTTCCTAAAGGCTGAGACTGCATCTCCCCCCCCCCCCAGCCCCCTTTCGTTCGATTGTTTTCTTTTTTCCGCACTTCTAGCAGACGTAAAGAGGCAAGTATTTTCCCGTGACCCAGCCCCTGGGGCCGTCCCAGCCCGGGAGCGTACCCGGGGAAGAGGGGGCTGCGTGCGGGGGCAGAGGCGCGGAGTGTGCGGGGAGCACCGCGGTCTCGCTAGAGTGGCATTGGTGTGTGCAGAGAGGGACCGCAGCAGTTCGGAAGCCAGGCCAGTCTCAGCCGGGTCAGCAGCACTGGTTACTGCCCAGTCCTGGAGCACGGCCCTCCGACCAGAGTTTGCCCTAGGCAGGGAATCGCCCGGCAGAGCTTCTTGGGAGACCCACCAGACTTTCTGTCCTTATGTGAAGATCGGAAGGGTCCTCGAGTTCCCCAGCTACATCAGAATTTGATTTCAATCAAAGTTCATAAACTGTTACTGCTCATTAAGTTAACAAGAAATACAGCAAAATCTGATGGAATCAGCCTTGGCATTTACAGCGGGGCTGCCTGTATCTAATTGAGTTTGTGGCTTGAAACTAACGGCATGCCCACTTTATGCAAAGCCTTTTGTTCTCAGTGAGCAAATATTTTTTCTAATTATCTGCATAACATGTGTAAAAGGAGTGATAAAGGCAGTGCAGGTAATCATACAGAGCATGGTGGGAGGGACTGGCCTGTAGCATAAGTAACAGAAATGAAACACCGAGAGTTACAGAATAAGTACAAATACAAATAATAGCCATCACTGAGAAATAACCTTTATTGCTAGCTGTAATTAAAGGCTGAATAGAGACACTTCCTATTAAACACAGCTTGTGAGGGGAAAAAAGCCCTTAGGCAGGGTGAGGAAAGTTTTCCATGGTCTGGTGGTTGTGTCCACATTTTTTCCACATACAGTCTACCAAAACTGTGAGTATTTCTAATTAAACAAAGCCTGTGTGAGAATACAGATAATATTATATGCTGGAAACCAGCATAAACCTCTAAGCTAATGCACTTTACCTGTGCCTTCAAAATTGTAATGAGTGGAGGGGCCACTGTCACTGCTGTTCCCAGAGGTCCCTACATCAGCGCTGGTTCCCATACCATGTGCAATCCCCCCTGCCGCAACATGACTAATGGTTCACACGTGGTCACCCTTTCATCCTCTCCCCAGAGCGAGAAGCATCTGCAGCAAGCACCTTGGTTTTGTAGGATTGTTCCGGGTGGGTTGGTTTGGGTTTGGGTTGCTTTTGCTTGGTTTTTTTTCTTATTTTAGCTAAACTTACGTACTTACTAAACTTGCATACTCAGCTGTATGGGAAGGACAAGGTCAAAGAATCGCTTCTTGTATTTGGGGCAGGCAGCAGTGAGCTTTTCCGTTCGTGATGAAGTTTGTCCTATAGTCCTGGACCAGCCTGAGAAGGTCATGCCTGGCTTGAGGATCCTGGTGCTGGGTGGTATAGAAGGAGAGATGAAGAAATCAGGACCACCCCCACAAAGTCATGCTGAGAGTGCAAGATTAACTAGGAGAAATAAACTTTTGTGAGCAGTGTTTTTAACAAGGTAGGGAGTGAGAACGCAGAGCCTGCAGTGAGAGCTGATGGTGCCCCATGCACTGAAACATGAAAATGATAATGCAGAACAATTCAGAAGCAGGAAGCAGAAAGCAGAAGCTGCGTTTCCTGCCCAGAACATGTTTTGTAATTAGAATCAGGGGAGACCACAGAGGATCCCCCCATGCAACTCCAGGCACTACAAATCACTGTCCTCCACTTAAATACAAGTCTTAACTTTGTTAACAAAGTCCTGTTTTCACAGTTCTGCACCACAAATGAGTGTCCCTGCAGTTAGTGGAAGGGTGTGCAAGCCTGATAGGTTGTGTGACTATCTGCAAGTGCCTCTCTACACATGACCTAGTGACCTGTGGGGAAATTCAGCATTGTAGATGCTTTGGCTTTGTAGATGGAAAACTTTGGATGTCCTGGGAGAGCTTTTTCCAGCTTGTGCATGCTGATAGCTTGCTTACTAGCACCAGAAAACTGAACCTAGCATTGCTTGCTTGTTTTCCAGGTTGTGCACTGCTAGTCCTCCTCTTATCTGCAACGGTCTCTCTCCTGGGTGGGCTGATATTTGGATACGAGCTGGGGATTATCTCCGGCGCACTGCTGCAGTTGCAGGTAGACTTTCACCTCAGCTGCTTCAAGCAAGAAGTTCTTGTGAGCGCCCTCCTTATCGGAGCTCTCCTCGCCTCTCTGGTTGGAGGGATCCTCATTGACCGCCATGGACGGAGGAGAGCAATCCTTGTCAGCAACTTGGTCCTGTTGGTTGGCAGCCTTATTCTCACACTGGCGAGGTCATTTATCGGGCTGGTCATTGGGCGCGTGACCGTGGGCTTTGCCATCTCTGTCTCATCCATGGCCTGCTGCATCTACGTCTCAGAAATGGTGGCTGCTCATCAGCGAGGGCTGCTGGTGTCTCTCTATGAAGTAGGCATCACCATAGGCATCCTACTGTCCTATGCGCTGAATTACATCTTTGCAGATGTGGATGAGGGATGGAGGTATATGTTTGGACTGGCCATTGCCCCGACGGCCATGCAGTTCCTCAGCATCCTCTTTCTCCCAGTGAACCCAGTTAAATTAAGCTCATGGGACTCAGACTGCCAGAAGGGTCTTATTCAATTACAGGACACTGAGGACAGAGCAGCAGCAAAGCGGGAGCCCTATAAGGAGAAGCATTACTCATTTCTTGACCTTTTCAGGACCAGAGACAACATGAGAAGGCGGACTCTGGTGGGCCTAGGACTGGTGCTCTTCCAGCAGTTCACTGGGCAGCCCAATGTGCTGGGCTATGCCTCCAAAATCTTCCACTCGGTGGGGTTCCAGAGCAACTCCTCGGCGATCCTGGCCTCTGTCGGGCTGGGGGCGATAAAGGTGGTGGCCACGCTCGTTGCGATGGCTTTTGCAGACAAGGCTGGCAGGAGGGTGCTACTCATGGCTGGCTGCGTGGTGATGGCCATCTCTGTCACCACCATTGGCCTCACCAGCCGCATTGCTCCGCTGGCCATGGCCAGGGACTGCAAAGCAGCCACAGACCCCAATGCATCCCACAGCCTCACCCAGCACCCCCTGACGCCCCTATCCACCCAGCCTACTGTGTCACCCATCCTGCCAGCATTAGGTGCTGGCAAAAGTCAGGCAGGCCCTGGGTTTGCTGCCACGAGGAGCTTTACCAAAGCTTTTGCCAGTACTCAAAGCAGAGAGGTTGTTCCCGATTCTTCCCTCGCTCAGAAAAGGGGCTTGGTAGGTCCGGCCAAAGAAGAGACAGTGGGAAGCGCTGGCCCTCCTTTCGGTGGTGCTCCCTGGGCAGAACATATGGTTTTAAATTGGATTACACTGTTGAGCATGATGGCTTTCGTGAGCGCCTTCTCAGTTGGATTTGGACCAAGTAAGTATGGTGTTTATATATCCTTGCCACTAACCCAGAGAGTAAAACTTGGGCTGATCTTTATGGTCTGCTTGAAACATTCATTATGTATCTGCTTTACCAAGCCGCTCAGTGTCTGGGAACTGGAAATTTATCCCCTTCAGCCCACTGAATAATTTTCTAGCATTGCAGCTCTGTCAGCTGTAGGGCTGGTACAGCACTAGAATAGCTTTCCCTTCTATGCTATCGCTACCCTTGTAATGTTTTTTTTCTGTCAAGCTCATTGCAAAATCAGAGCATCCCACAAGCACTACCTAATCTTCCTAGCACCCTGAGGAGAAGGAAAATAGAGGGCTAAGGACAAAGGGACTTAGGGGTTTCTGCTGTGTGGTAAAGAAAGTCAGTGACAGAACTGGAAGTGGAACCTCCTCAGAAGTTTCTCAGTATCAGTTGGTCTTTTTCTGAAATCATCATTTATAGAGATTAGTTCGTGCTTCCATATGAGCTCTAGTGTTTTCTGGCATTTATTGCTTTAAATGCTTTGATGGGAGAAAACAGGACCTAACTCAAGGAAAAACAGAAGTGCACAGCAAGTCTCATGGGTTTGACAGTGACCTTGTAAGTTATTTCAAGCAAAATAACCCTGGGATAGGAGAGACTACTTTAAGATATATATTGGTTTAGCTCTGATTTTAGCCCAAATGCAACATTGTCTCCCTAATCCTACCCCTTTCTCATTTCTTTACAAAGAGCATGTCCTGACAGCAGGTATGCCAGATCTTTTCCGTCCCCCCTGAATGGAATGACCGACTCCCCAGTTTTCTTCTTTGCTCCCTGGACCTGTTCATTGGTATTTTGTTCCTCTGTGGAGTGCTGAACGTGGGAGTTTTGAAGTGTTCTGCTGTGACCTGAGTCTGAGATCAATGAATGCTTGACACCACCAGCAGTGGGTGCTGGGTGAAGCCAGAGTTTGAAACCCCTGCTGAAATCTCCCTTGCCCATTTCCCAAATAAATTGCTTAACCCCTACGCTGTCTTTCTGTTCTCTCTAATCTGTGCAGTGACCTGGCTGGTCCTCAGTGAGATCTACCCCGCTGGGATAAGAGGAAGAGCCTTTGCCTTCTGCAACAGCTTTAACTGGGCTGCCAACTTACTAATCAGCCTCTCCTTCCTGGACCTGATTGGTAAGTGGCCATCCCCCATCCATCCCTCCATCTCCCACAGCTGGTTAGGGAAGGTGGCTGCCACAAGCCATTTGGAGATTAAGTGGCATTTTGAACCCTGGGGACTTGACGCGGGAGTAGGTGTGACCCTGATGCCTCTGAGAGCAGAAAAACCAGGCACCAGCAACACTGGTCTCAGCCTCTCCACCACCCATTTCATAAAAATCATCCCATCGCCTGCTGGGCTGTACTCCAGTACTGCAGTATCAGGAAACCATGGAGTTTGCAGGTTCCGTGCTGGTAGCTTTATGACATTTCTTTCTAGCAGAGCTCTCCACTGAGGCACTCAGCGGGCACTGCTGGGCCCTGGAGCTCGGCTGCTGCCTTTCCTCTGTGGTGCTGCTGGCAAAGCCTGGCATGAACCATCCTTCTCCCTTGCTGATTCCCAGTCCAGACCTTGCAGATAAGGAGCTTCCCTGCCTTTTTAAGGGCTTCTTAAAATAAGAAGCCCCTGTCAGGCACCACTGACCACCTCGCAGTAAGCAACCAGCTTCCTTTGTATCCCATGATGTGACCTCCCTCCAGTGGACCCTTCATGCACTTGGATCTCTCTGCAGATGCCATTGGTTTCTCTTGGATGTTCCTCCTCTATGGACTGATGGGAGTGGTGGCTGTTATATTCATTTACCTTTTTGTTCCGGAAACAAAAGGACAGTCCTTAGAGGAGATAGACCAGCAGTTCTCCAGGAAACGGTATGTGTGCTGTTGTACCAGCGTGAGTGCTGGCTTTGGATGCTTCCCACCAGCAGGCCCTGGGGTCTGTGGCACTGGGAAGCTCAGGGCTGTTGCAAAATCTGGTCAGCGCTGCTGAGAATATCTGAGATTTGTGCAGGCCTGTGGGACGGGGTGTGAGAGCTGCAGTGTGGTTCATCAGCAGGTCACTGCCCTGAGCCTTGCGGCTGTGCTGCTGGAGGGCACTAGCGACACTAGGGAGGAAAAGGGCTAAAAATCAGAGCTTGTGGGTGAGGGGAGGAGAGCAGGACTAGAGCACGGCACAGGCAGGTCAGGACAGTGAGGTCCTTAGAGTAATCCTGGACTGATCCTTCTCCTCTGGGGCAGGGACACCTCCTGGTGTAACACATGCCACCTCACCTTGTAGTTTCCATGCAAAGCCTGTAATGGGCTAGGGAAGATCAAGAGGTGTTTGTGCAATTCTGGTTGTGAAGGAAGTGGCAGGGCAAGCATTGCTGGAGCAGGGGGAGGCTGTGCAAGCCACACATCCACGATGTCCAGAGGAGGGAGCATACACCCCATGGGGTGATGACCAGGAGGGGTAACTGCTGTAAACCCCTGCCTGGCTCCTGGCTCCCTGCGAGCAGCAGCTGCCGCAGCTGACCTTCGCCATTGCCCCGCAGGGTGTGGGAAGGAAACGTGTTTAAGCAGAGACGTGGAAGAGGAGTGAGCTGCACACACGCGCAGTATCGGAGAGTGGAGCACGCCAGCAGCACATGAAA